CGGACAATGTTGTCGTGGTGCAGCGTCGAGAACAGCTGGATCTCGTGCATGAAGGCCTGGACGTGGGTCGCGTGGCGCGTGTGGACGGCCTGGAGCTCCTTGACGGCGACGACTTGGTCTTGAAAGAGCGCTCTGTACACGATCGCAAAGCCGCCGTTGCCACAAATCTGCTTTTGCGCCAACTCGCGCTTGGGAATCCGGTACCCGTTCAGCTCTGGGTCCGACCGAATGTCGTAGCTGTAGGCAAACGTGCCGTCCGAGCCTTTCGATGACGTGATCTCGCGCTGCTGGGACTCTTGATACTGTTGAAAGGTCGCGCGCAGGTCCGTTGTGCTCGGTGTGGCCGTAGTCGAGAGTGGTCGGCGCCGGCGCCGGATCAAAACAAACGCGAGGACCGCGAGAACGACGGCGACACCGACACCGATGCCAATGTACGTGGCCGACGACGACGCCGACGATGCTGGCGACGCAGTTGCCGGTGCCGTTGTGCCTTTGTTCACGGCCGTTGGGGCGGGTGTCGTGGTGCTGGCTAGGCACGAGAGTTAGTGCCAGGCTCTGAAGAGTAAGTGAACGAACCGACAACGCAAATCTTGTGGGTGAGGACCTCTTTCGTCCGGGCGTCTGGGGCGCCTTGATATGTCTCCAGCGTTCCGGCGCAGGAGGTGGGTCGAATCGCCACGGTCGAGAAGACTTGAATGTCGCGTAGCGCCGCGAACGACGCTGCATCGACGTTGAACGTCTCAATGTAGTGGAACGAGAGGTCGCTACGCTGGCCACATGAGTCTTCTCAACGACAGCACGACGACAGGGTACAGGCTCAACAGCGTCGACGGGATGCGCCAGCCGTCGATGGTCGTGAGGTTGTTGGTCGAGAGCGATCTATGCGAGCGTGAGCAGCCGCTTTGCTCTGAAGCGTACAAGTATCGGAGCATGGCGGGCAGCGTAAACGACCCGTTGACGACCCGCATGTTGTTGCCCGTGAGATCGCTATCGCCAGCGTGAGCCACAGTCTAATTCGAGGCGCAGATGGCACAGGTTGGTGAGCGACGCTGGCCACTGGACGACGTTGAGCGCGCTGTCCAGTGCGTTGTAGCGCAGACTCCTACATTGAGCGTGAGCACGCAGGCCATCGTCCTCGACAAGCTACATGGCGGTGAGCTGCGCAGGCGCAGTGAACGCTGGCTCGATAAGCGCGAGCGAGTTGTCCTCGAGATACCTAGCTTGCACATCAGCAATGGCAATAGCGGCGACAACGAACAAGGTGGCGGTGCCAGCCGGCAGCGCGTGCAGGACGTGGACCTCGACGCTCACGTAGAGGCTGGTGGAGCCGCTGCTGAACGTCACATCGGTCTCGTTGCCAGGACCGTAGACGACGCAGGCGGGCGCCGTCTTGTTGGCGCACGTCGTCGTGAGGGTCCCGACCATGCTACACTCACTGGGCTGCTGAGCAACTGGTTCGATGCGCGCTGCCTGTCCATGCCAAAACCCCGTGATTGGTCCTTCTCGAGGGCGTGTCACACCCAAGATTCTGTTTCGAACCTTACTCCAGCGTTTCACAAAGGTAAACTCTGTTTCAAACTCTGACTGAGCGATGCCAGATCAGGGTGCCAGTGCAGTAGAAACCAAACAACCAAGGCGTCAACTACAACACTACAACTTCATTTCTCATAACACTCTACTCGTATCTAGGCCTTGCGGGCAAAGAAGAGCCCCCACTTTTGGTCGCCTTCCGCGCAGCGCACGAGCTTGGCCTCCCAGCCGTCGACAATGTCCTCGTAGTCGTGCGCCGACGTCTCGGCGATGAACGCATCCTTGTTGAGACGCGTCCGGTCCAGCTCCGTCTGCAGCACTTGGACAAAGTGCTCGGTGCGGTCTTCCGCCTCGACGTCCGTAAACCCGACGCTCGCAATCACATTGCCGTACGCTGCGGGCGTCAGCAGGTGGTAGCCGCGGCTCGCCACATACGCCTTGAAGCGGGTCGTTTGCGTCTCGGCCTCGCCGCAGCAGTAGTCCGAGATGAGGAGGCGGCCGCCGGGCTTGAGCCAGCTGTAAAACTTGGCGAAGAGCGCCTTCTTGTCCCCAATGTGCAGGATCGTGTCGCGCGAGTAGATCACGTCAAACGACGCCGGCGCATACTCCTTCGTCGTCGCGTCGCAAATCTCAAACTCGCAGTCGACGCTCGGGTCGGTCAGCGACGTCTCGAGCGCGCGGTGCACCATGTTGGTCGAGAGGTCGATGCCGACGACGCTGACGCCAAAGGTCTTGGCCATGTAAAAGTCGCCGCCGCCAATGCCGCAGCCCACGTCGAGGACGCGCTCGCCATGGCGGAGGCCGAGCTTGGCAACAAACTCGGTGGTCGTGTCCTGGCCGCCCGTGCTGATGTAGCCCGCGCCAAAGATCTTTTCGTAGCGCGCAATGCTGCCGCGCGAGTACTGCTGCGCGTCCAGGAACCGCTGGAACGTCTCGGCCGCGCCGACCGAGCCCTCCTTGATCACCTTCTTGAAGCGAAAACAGATCTGGCCATTGTTCTTCTTGACGCGACGGTAGACGCCGACCGACGACGACGACACGAGCTCAAACTGGCTCACGCGGCCGTTGCCTTCGTCAATGACGGCGGATGCAAACGCCCCGACGTAAAAGCTCGGGTGGCGGTATTTCGTCGGGTTGGACGTGCGCTTGACGTCGCCGCTTTGGCGAAAGCACGACTCGCGGAAGAAGACTTCGCCGCCGGGACGGAGCCACTTGAGCGTCTTCTGGGCGAGGCGCGACACCTCGTCGTCGTCGAGGTACATGAGCAGCCAGTTGGAGAAGACCACGTCGAACGACGATGGCTGGCGCTCGAGGTCGCACACGTCCGCGCACAAAAACGACACGTTGCCGCGGTGGCCGTTGGCCTTTTCATTCGCCTTGTGAAAGTCCTCGATGAACTCGACGGCCGTGATGCTGGCCGCCTCGTCGGCAATGCGGCCCGTGTAGCGGCCAATGCCGGCCGCCATTTCGAGCACGTCCTTGTCCTTGACGTCCGGGAGCTTGGCGAGGATCTCGGGGATCTCGAGCTCGTGGAGCACCTTGGCGTTCGAGTCGAGCATCATCGTCTCGATCGTCGTCTCTTGGCTGTGCTCCGACCAGTAGCTCTTCATGTCGTTGCGCGTCGCAACAGTCGCTTCGTCGAGGCCGGCCATCGTTATTGGTGCCTGGGAAAGGGCAAATTCAGAAATGAAATACCGGTCCAACGTTGCAAGAAGATCGCTGAGGCCAAGTGACTACAAAGGCGTTGAAGGACGACGCCAAAAGTCGCCCCGACGCATGCCGGATGGAAGGCAACGCCGACGCGGTCTGTCGCGTGCACCTCGCGGATTGGCCGAAATTCATGCAAATCAAACCATCGACCAATCACAGCGCGTCGAACCGCCAGAAAGGCCACCTGGCGTGCACACCTGCCGCCATCGTGAGCCGCTGACGAATGAGCGCGCGCCACCACGACGGGCGAGACCACGTGGCGCCACGACAGCGAAGCAAGCCGATTTCGAATACGTGCGCCACTACGGTATTCTACCACGTACTAAGAACTGAGGGACTACACTGAGACTAGCTATGGCCGTGGATCCGTTGGCTGGCGGCAGCGAGAAGCCTGCTGGCGTTGCTTTCGCCGCGGGCTTGAAGTGGGCGCCGAGATCCCGCCATCTGCTCCAGCTCATTTGACGTGCCGGCGCGTGATTGGCTTATTTTCAAAAGATCGCAACACTCGAATGACTCACGTGGTGAAAAACAATTTACACGGTGTTTGCACATGTGTGAAATGCAATGGTATTTTTCACGCCGTGCGTGGCAAACGACGTGGGAAATCGCACGCCATGGTCAAAGGAACGACCGTCGTGGAGATGCATCGCAGTACTCGCGTGTACTCGTGTTGTAGTTAGTCGAATGTCTACTAGACGACATCGACTCGCACCAAGTCTGGAGCGAGCGCATCGCCGACCCGACTTCAACGCATGGCACGTTGAATCTTTGGCTCAGACAGGCGGTCATTTCCGAAAAAGCGACCAGCATGCAAGACGACCTCGTCCGCGACTGCCACGGCAAGCGCGTGCTCGTTCTCGGCTCTGGCGACGCCGCCCACGGCGTGGCCAAGGTGGCGGCCACCATCACCCACGTCTCCATCGACGATCCCTCGGCGCTCGCGTCCATTGCGCCGGCGTCCGTCGACGTCGTACTCAGCCATGGAGCCCACCGGTACCTTAGCGAGGCTGCCCTCGCCGCTGTGGCGTCCGCAACGCTGGCCTGCCTCGTCGAAGGCGGCCTCGCGTACTTTGACGAAACGTGCTTTGGTGGCGACGACGCGAAAGCCACGTACCGGCACCCGCACGCCTACACGGAGGCGTACGCGTCCGTGTGTCGCCCCGACGGGCCGCTCATGGCGCAGTTTGAGCTGCGCACATCCTCGGCCAAGCTCATCTCGCCTCGCAATAGCATGCACGTGACGTTTGCCTTTCTCAAGGTGGTCAAGCAGGACACGCTGGCGTCCTTCCAGCGGTTCCTGGACGCGCAGCAGTACTCGCGCGGCAGCATTGCGCGCTACGAAAAGATCTTTGGCGCGGGCTACATCAGCACGGGCGGCCAGGACACGACCACCGAGTTTGTCGCCAAGCTCGGCCTCCGCCATGGCGAGCGCGTCCTCGACGTGGGCTGCGGCATTGGCGGCGGCGACTTTTACATGGCCAAGACCTTTGGCGTCAGCGTCGTCGGCATCGACCTCTCGACCAACATGGTGCACCGCGCGCTCGAGACGTCGCTGACCGACCCGAGCGTCGACTGCGAGTTTGAGATTTGCGACGCGACGACGAAGGAGTATGCGCCGGCGTCGTTTGACGTGATCTACTCGCGCGACACGATCCTGCACATTGGGGACAAGAAGGCGCTCTTCGCCAAGTTTTACAGCTGGCTCAAGCCCGGCGGCCGCCTCCTCATCTCGGACTACTGCTGCGGCGAGGCCGAGACGCAAACGACCCGCTTCAAGGCGTATGTGACGAGCCGCGGCTACCACCTGCTGACGCCCGCAGCGTACGGCAATGTGATTGCGAGCGTCGGGTTTACGGACGTCGAGGCGGAAGACCGCACCGAGCACTTTGTCCAAGTGCTGCAGACGGAGCTGGACCGGACGCGTCTCAACAAGGATGCGTTCATCGCCGAGACGTCGGCGCACGACTACGAGGACATTGTCGACGGCTGGGAGGCCAAGCTCGTGCGCTGCGCGGAAGGCGACCAAAAGTGGGGGCTCTTCTTTGCCCGCAAGGCCTAGATACGAGTAGAGTGTTATGAGAAATGAAGTTGCAGTGGTGTCTATTGGTATAGAGCAGCAGCGCAGCAGCTAGAGGTGTTCTTAGACCCGTTCTAAGCCGTTCTCAGACCCTAGTTGCAGCAGGAAACTGGCCTTAGCTGCCAAGATGGCTGTTACACGTGGCATCCCCAGAACGCATGTCGTTTGTCGAAGTTTTGTTGAGCCAATCACATGCTCGCTCGCCATAATCGCACGCTCGTCGAACAACGCGATCGACTGGCGCAACAATGTCCCTCACGACGACGTGCGCCAACAAGACGGCGCCCGCCTGCGTCGTCTACGGCCCTGGCAACGAGACCGACCTAAGCCTCGACAGCCGCGGCGGCCTCTACGTCGACGCACCGGTGACGTCGATCGAGTCTCTCCCGCCGTCCGCGACAGCTCTGTACGTCCGGGGCTTTGGCTTTGGCTCACGCTCTGTAGCACGATCTCGTCTAGCACACTCGTATCCATCAACCCGACGCTGGGCAGTACCCTGGGCGCTGCCTCGCAGCTCGCTTCGATGTACCTTGCATGGCCTCTGCCATGAAGTCGCCTCATCTTCTACGACGTCCTCTAGCTCTCTCCGCTTTAACCTCCTTGGCGAGTCGCTCAACGCAGTCCAGTGGCCGCAGTCCCTCGTCAAGCTGTACGAGGCCTTCGCCGATCATGGCACTGACAAAGACTAGGGATCTCACGGGCAACAAGCTGCATCAAATCAACGCGTCCTTTTCGATTCCCGCCAAGCTCCGAACTCTGTAAGTCTTCCTCCAAGCATCGCCAAGTGATACATTCTGTGGTAGAGCGCTCAGCTCCAACCAAATCACGAGCATCGACGGCCTCGTCATTCCGTCGTCGCTCCAGAGCCTGTAGGAATGATCCTCGCTTGGACATGAAGTAAGCGTCATGTGTCGTAGGAGCCTTTACGTCAACACGATCGACACGTTCAACATCAACGCCGCATCGTTCGCTGCGCTCTCGCGCGTGCAGCTCTTCACCGATCGAGCGATTCGCGCGCTCGAGTGCAAGGGCACGCGCCAGACGTTCCAAGGCGCCATTGACGCCGAGGTCAACGGCGGCCGACCACTTCTGCACACTGCTTGCGTCCTCGGTAAAAACGTGTCCATGCAACGAGGTGCATGAACGATACAACCTAGATGTTGGTGCAGCGGCGACAACTGTGCCCGGTACGATGCTAACCCTACCCCTTGCGCTCACGATGTTGTAGTAGGTCCCGGTACAGCCGATGCCTCGAGTACCGGTCGGTGCAAGTGCTATCCACTCTGCCTCACGCAACTGTAGACTCTGGAGCGTCGACGGGTCTCTACGCTGGCCTTGGCATCGGTGCTGCGGTTCTCATCCTTCTCGTCATCGGTGGGCTGCTGCGCCTCCGCCACCGCCGCCGCTCCAACACCCAGTACCTCGACCACTCGACGCCGTCGGCCGAGATATCGCGCAAGCCAAACGCCGCCACCGCGTCCTACGACGAGACGCCCGTCGTCGTCAGCGACTTTGCGTTTGCCTACAGCTACGACATTCGGTCGGACCCAGAGCTGAACGGGTACCGGATTCCCAAGCGCGAGCTGGCGCAAAAGCAGATTTGTGGCAACGGCGGCTTTGCGATCGTGTACAGAGCGCTCTTCCAAGACCAAGTCGTCGCCGTCAAGGAGCTCCAGGCCGTCCACACGCGCCACGCGACCCACGTCCAGGCCTTCATGCACGAGATCCAGCTGTTCTCGACGCTGCACCACGACAACATTGTCCG